ATCTGAGTCATTGACAACTCGATATTTCAATCATTGGCGCTTGTATTAGTCATTGTTGACTTTTTCAGATTACTGGGTGACTCAGAAGAAGAAATGTAAATTCATTTGCAGAACCATGGCAGGAAGCGAGAATATGAAAACAGCTAAACTCCAGACCACAGTTTTTTCACTATTTTCAAAATTCTTTGATCACTTTCTTTACTTATTCTTTAGACAATTAATGTTACAATTGAGGTGCTATTTCTACAGCATCCTTAATTTCCCATCCATTAGAACGTTGAACCAGTTCACTCGAAGCATCTGAGAAAAACACTACTTTACTCTTATTGTCTTTGCAAGCATAGTACATTGCTGTTAAGACCTCTGATCTTTGTAGCTTCCAGTGTTCCAAACAGACAAACTTCACTTTACGGTGTAACAGAGGAATATGCACTGTAATGCATAACTTATTTTAAATTTATCTGAATATATTTTTGGACCTCACGGGCATCTTGCAATCCTGTGACTCTTTGTTTTCTTGCTATTTTGAGTGCAACGTCAAGATGGAACATTTCCTATGTGTACAAAAAAAGGTGAGTTCCAACAACCTTCCAATATTTACAATCCAGTAGATGTATAGATTACCATAAATAAAATGTGGTTTGCTAATACTAAATTGTTGCTTTCAACTGGTGACCAGTCACTTTCTAAAATATTATTTTTGGAACCACAGTAATGCCTAGCACCACCCAGTGTTGAAACAAAAGTTCTGAATTGTAGGCTGGCAGTGTAGGAATGACCTTGATCGTAGAATGTTTTATTTTAAACTCAATGTAGATGAACTGAAATCTGCTGAGGAGTGTTAGTTTGTATTAACCTGCTTCAATGTCAAGAAGCTGAAAAGGTGTCCGTGTCAGAATGTGTCTAGAAATGAGCTATTTAGAATATGTCTGCTTGATGGCTTGAAATATCTCCTTTCTGATTGTGGGTAGATATGTTGTGATGCTTTTTGTATCTTTCTGCTGGATCTCTTGAGTTTTATGTAGTTAATGTGCTTTTTTTTTTTTTTTGGTCAATATAAGATTTTTTGCTCAATTTAAAAGCAAAGAAAAAAACACATCAGGAGAAAATATTCCCCACATAGGGAAGGCAAGGAAAACATAAATATGGTAAGCAAGAAATAGGAATCCCAGAAATGAAATGATATAGAGACTTTCTAAAAAGATCTTGTGGGAACAATAAACAAGTGGTGTGCATCATTCTATAGCAGGGCTGCCCAACAGGTAGATCCCCAGATGTTGTAAAACTACAACCCCCATGATGCTTTGTCATTCTAAAGGCATGCAAAGCTTCAAGGGAGTTGTAGTTCTACAACATCTGGGGATCTACCTGTTGGGCAGCCCTGTTCTATAGTCTTAAAGTGCAAGATAATGTGACTCATGTAGACCAGAAGAAGCCTTGGAATAAATCCAGAGGCTGATGTGTATAGTAGGGAACTATAAATAATGAACAAGAGAGTGCGGGAAGAGGGTAAAGGGCAGGTCCCCTTGGAGAGAGCACGTGAAGAGAAGAAAAGCAGGGAGAAAAAAAGGCAAATAGCTTAGAACAAGAGGCATTAAGAATCAGGAAAGGGGCTACCCATCCCCTCTGTGGCCCAAGGACTCATCCCACCATTCCCCAGATGTCCCATAGCCAGGAAATCAAGCCACAGGGCCCAAGTTGAGCAATAATGCTTCTGCCTCTGGTATAGGAAGGCCATAATCTTGTCCATGGTTCTAATTTCTTCGTCCTTTGTAACCAATTGTTGGAATGTCAGCGGGCAAGTGCTTCTCCACAGTCCGGGGTTTAGGGGTGCTGCAATCATGCAGGATATCTGGGTATTTCACTAAGGTAGCACCCAAATCTTGCTTCTACCCACATCATGCCACCCTTCTCCTACACAACTGGTGTTAATTGGGACCACTTTCACAAGCAGGGGCACATCCTCCATAACGCCAAAACACTAGATTCATTGTTACCCCATTTCTCAACATCTCTAGCAAAGCAAAGTTGTAATCACAAAAGCTAGAACACATGTGCTGAACTTGGTCTGACAGGTAGAAAGTGGGTTCTCCTGCTCTCAATGTCTCCTATTTCTTAGCATAGAGGGGTTTGCCTTTGGTGAAGTGACTGGACTTTTATATTATTTTTTTAAGAAAATCTACACAACTAGAAACAATTAAAAAAGATTTTCTCCCTCTTTGGTTTAAATAAAAGTTCTGTGTACCAAGACAGGTAGACTTTAAGCAATGGGATTGTTCAACCTTCATAGTTAAAAGAAAAAGGGTAATGCAAAGTTTACTTAGGGTATATGTGCATTGACGTTTAATAAACTTTATTGCAAAATCCTGCACTCATCTTCCCAAGGTGCCCCATGTGATTCATGGGAGATAGTCATTGAACATTTAAATAATACATTATAATGTAGTCCATGGAACAGCGCAGATAAGGAAATGGGCCTTGACAGGGCTAGGAAGTAGACATGGAATCTAAATTTAATTCTGGGCTGTGGGTTAGCAAATGGAATTGCAGGTGGGGCTTAAGGAGCATATATATAGAGCCGCCATTTTGGGAAATGGGCATTTTAACTAAAGCTTTAAAATGGGCATTTTAACTAAAGCTCTCCCACCCTCCCTGATGTTGTAGTTGTTAATTTCCCCTTTTGGTCACAGCGGCGGGGAAGGGCTAGGTTAAGTGGGGGGAAGGTGGAGTATGAAGTGGTCATGGCGAGGCTTAGGTAGGAGTGTTACACTTGGTTGGTAGGTTCGAACTCATCGGTGGCTCCGAACCTGGGGGTGTAGGGGTATCTCGGTACACCTCTATAGTTTAAACATTTGGATATGGGGCCTCTTTTGGTAGGTCGTGTTACATGTTATATGTAATTTATATGGTTATATTGGTACGGGGTCATTGCCAGGGGTATTTATGTATGGGGGGATATTGTTTCTAAATATTACTATTTTAGTAGTGACCCCAATTTGTTAATTTTATTACAATAATGAATAAAGCTGTGGGCTATATATTTCCAACAGGAAAGCCGGTGTCCGTGTCTTATTAGGGGGGGTTTGGGGTATGGGTATTGCACATGCCGAATAAACGACTGAGCGCATGTCATGTATGTGGAACATAGATCTTTGTGTTAATTTAGTGTAATTTGATGGGTTGTGCTTTCTAAATTGAGTGTTTTAAGTAAAATCTCACCTCACTGTCAATGTTTACTGGCAATCTGTTAGATTTCTGTGTTTTCTCGGCATGTATCTTGTGTACATTATTTTTTATTTTGAACATTTAGAGTTTACTTCTACTTCTTTTGTAAATTTCTACTATTTTTTTAAGGGTCTAACTGCAAATAACGGCTACCATAGCTGTATTAAAACAACATGATGGTAAATTCTGCTTATTAAATAATGTGGGTATATGTAGAAAAGGATTTATTTGTTTGAGCTTGTGGAAACTCTACACCACAGATCAGTGATCGAGTTTAGGACGACAAATGCTTTCATATGCTATGATAAATGACACAACAGTGTGGCATTCTACAAAATTAGATAAGTAGGAAGATTGATAGATGCATAGTTCACTCGTTGTTATTCAATTCAACATTTCTTCCTGAGTTTGGAAAAACATGCACTTTTATTCATTTTATCCATTGCCTAACTGCCAAAGAGCTTGTAACCTTAGTTAGCCTTCGGGGTGGAATGAGTCAGAGAAAGTTTTGCATTTTATCCATTCATACTTTCATGACACATAGCATAGTCATGCCCTCTTTCCAGAAAAAGCAACTCAAAACAAGGCCTACAGCAATTTTTTCGTTTTATATTGTATCTTGCATTACACATCACTTTAATGTTGTTCAGTTTAATTTGGTAGGCATGAATCACTCTTGAGAAAGTTGATTTGTTTCGCACACTAAGAACATTTCTAAAATGTTAGGATTGGCAGTCAAATTAAAGAATTTCTGGGTATTTAGTATGCCTAGCTGCCATGTTTAAACCAGTCTTGTTTCCTCATATCAGCCTAGTGTGCATCTACACTTTGTTGGACTCCATACCTTTGCAGTGCAATAGTTCAAGGATGTTCCAGCGTCCACTGAAGGATTAAACTTATTAGTAAATTAAAAAAATATATTTTCATTTACACTTTTGCAGACACTTTATTTTTTTTTTTTATAATATTCAGATTATAGTGTATACCTGCCTAGTAGATAGAATACCATGTGTGACTCATGAAGTGTTTTGCGAACTTAATCAAATAACAGAAGAAAACACTAATAAGGTGTTGAGGAACCATCTCAATTTCTCCGCTGTAAGGACAGTACTGTACAGTTGGTTATAGTTTGAAACACATTCTTCAACAAGCATATCTAGCCTGGAATTTTACATTCACTTTAGAATTTTCTTAAAGAGGGAATCTTTTTGACATGCGCAGTCAGTCACACAATGAGAAACATAGCATAATCGTTGATAAAATGTGGCAGTGAACAGAGGTTTTGCTGCCACACCCTACCATTTCCCATCAGACAGTCTCCATACACCTCCATGATGGACTCCATTGCCTGCGTCAGAGTACAAAACTGAAATAGCAGAAAATGGCAGAAAAAAACTGATTAAAAAACAACTGATTATTCTATAGTGATTTTGATTAATTATTTCCAAACTTGGAATAAAAACATATACATAAAATGCATAGACCTTTAATTGCAAATAATGAATGTTTTGAATCATTGCATTAGGCTAATCAGATGTATATTTATAAAAAAAAAAAAGTAAAATAATTAATTTAAAAAAATTAGATTTGGCAAGGTATGTTTGAGATAATATTTTGCTGATTAATGTACCTACATGAAAGAAGTATAGCATTTGAAAAAAAAAATGTAATTTAATGTCAACATGTGTCCTTTTAAACAATTATCTATATTCTATTTTTAACTTTGTTTATTTTTATCATGGTAAAGGGAAGCAAATATTTCTAATGCCCCGCCTGCTGTATTTCAATGTTTTACAAGAAAACAAAAACATTTCTTGATGTGTGAACGTAGAACAGCACATATACTTTCTGCAGGTGGCAGCTGGGCGGGAGAAAGAGGAAGTGGTTTTTGCAAATGGAAGTAAAAAAAAAAAGAGGCAGGGGTGGATTTGGCGCACATTGACTTGCCCACGTTTCTTCAAGTGGAAATGTTCCCCACAAGCGCCCATTTTCTTTCCACAAGCATTGTAAAAATGTGTACCCCCACACTTATTCACATTGACGAAAACATGATGCTGTGTGCAATAATGCAGAAATGGCAAAAACACACATGTAACAAGACTGTGTTAACAACATTTGATAAGCTGTGTAAACAAAATAACAACAAAACAGGGATATTCACAAAGTGTGAATTGTCAGGAATTCAAACGCCAAAATAGTCAAATTAGAAATATGATTGACTTGAAGAATTTTTCCAGTTCAATTACACTTGAAATTTCCTTTGGAATTTTCTATTCTCCAGCTTTAGAGCAGGGATGGGGAACCTTTGGCCCTGCAGATGTTGTGGACTACAATTCCCTTGATGCTTTGACAGCATTATGCTTGTAAGAGCATTGTGTGAGATGTAGTCCAAAACATCTGGAGGGTCAAAGGTTCCCCATCCCTGCTTTAGAGAATAGTTCCGTATAGTTTATATGTTACATGTAAGTTTAAATGTTGAATGAAAAGTATACATTTGGGTGGCACCCAAATTGTATTTGGTATTTGTTTAATTTGTTTTATTAGTGACACTTGTTCAGATGAACAATCCCCCCCCCCCTTCCACCCCTCTCCCACCCCAATAATCTATAATAATTAGATAATGATGCTTAAAAGCAAACTTTATCTTTTCCCATAGATTGACCTGGAGCAATTATCAAGTTATAACTAGGGCAATTATTAAATTGTACTAATTTAATTGTAAATTTAATCCATAAATAATCTTAGAATGTATCGAATTGCTCTTTGAAGTACTGATATTGTGGCTACGCCAGACTTCTGTGAAGGTGAGATTCAGAGCACTATATAAAATGCAGTTTTTCAAGCTCTAACTTTCACCATATAGGGAATATATTTTTATTTTTGCATTAACGTGTCCGTTTTGTTGCAACACTGCATACCTAATTTTTTAAGGCTATGTATGGTAGAGCGAAAGAGACTGGGTGAGAGAGTTGACGTGACCACATACTAAACTTAACAGATGTGACTGTCAATCATACCTTCCAAGAAACCAGTGACACTGCAAAAGAAATTCTCCTATCATTTTCATCTGTCATCCCGTTGCTTACGTCTTTACTCTACTATCATGTTGCCTCTTCCCTATTCATTGAATGTAGTAGATCTTTCATGCTGAGCTACTCTTAAATACTGTGTATTTGAAAACTAGTTAAAACAGAAAACAAAAAAAAATTGCTAAAAGATAATATATTCGATATTGCGGCTAAACACATGGCATTTTGCCCTGTAGATTTCTCTGCAGTTTTCTTGATGACTGCTGTTCATATATCTCTCTTATCTGTGCTCTAAAAATGAGTTATAAGAGACAAATAATTGACTGCTTCTTCTATAAAGAACCAATAATAAAGAAAATGAGAAAATAAAATTATTTAGAGGTTTGGATTGTTGTACTTCTGGCTCCATAGAATTTGCATGGCAGATTCATTTCTTTTCGACCCTGAAATCGGAACTGTCCTGCCAAAAGTGGAGCTCTTGGGAGGCCTGAGGCAAGAGTAGTATTCCAAGCATGATGAACCCAATCCATCGGACTTGATCCCATAGCTTCTTAGAGTTACAATAGCAAAGGACAATTCAGGTTCAAGGCAGCGAGAGTTTAATCAAGATAATAAACATTGCCAATCAGATCTGCAAGAAGACAAACAGGATTAGGATAGGGTTAACAAATAAACAGTCAGAGGTCATATAATAACACAACAGGGAAGGAGATTCGAAATCTAGCAAAAGGATAAACAAGGTGGTACCACTGCCAAGAATATGGGAACAAACCAGGAGACAAGTGAGCATTGATATCATGGAATACTATATGTACGCATCCGACATACCTTCATGTTTAACTGATGATATGTAGGCTATTTTAATTGTGCCCCAGCAAACAGACTGAGTGAGTGTTGGAAACAAGTAGTACTATATTACAGTTATGATAGCAATGCTATTTAGTAATGAATAATTGTTAATGAAACATTTTTAATGATATATTTAGGTTGCTACAAAAGCTGAATTAACAAACAGAGGGCCTTATAGCCTGAATGAAACAATGTTTCACTACACTACATATGCTTGTAGATAGTTATGGAATGTTCAGCAGTTGTACTGTCCTTATATGTTTAAATTAACCATAAGATACAACTTTTTTTTTTTCTGTTGAGTGAACTGGTTGCTCTTTGCCAGAGTCAGTTAACCCTTTCATGGTCTGTATTGGATTTATAAATACAAAGACAGGATAGGGAATACCTTTGTTAAGGATGGTCCAGCAAAACATGGGGCATTTTGATGGAACGTACAATGATCAGGAATGTCACAGTATGTGGCTTGTGCATATCAAATCTGTTATTTAGAAAATGTAGGCACGTTCTCTTCAGAATTTTTGATTAAAGAGGCTCTGTGATCATAAATAGACCATGCGTCAACATTTCAAATCAATCTGTTTTCTTGTGTTGACGATGTGCATTCGGTTTAGCGTTTGTTTAATACAAATCAATTAAGTTTCTCAGAATTAAGCCTGGATACAGTGTATCATTAGAGAATTAACAGAAAGGACAATTTCTTGTTTCAAGCGCATTAGGAAGCTTAGATGACAAAATGTGATTGGCTGCTGACATCACATGTTCTATTTCGTCTTTTTTTATCTTCTTGAGAGTTTAAGTATTGTGATCTAATTTAAAATGGCCTCCTACATAACGAAACAACTGGAAGATATTAGAAAGGTAATTCCAGAAAAGGTTTCTATAACTTTATTACAAGAAAAATCATTTCTTTATTTGAACTGTTGTTTTGAACTGCATTATAAAGGGGAAAAAACAGAACACCATTTTAAGCATTGTAAGCTAGTGTATTTGTTTGTTATGGAAATGTCCCTATTTTTGCTGTATGCAGGGAGATGAAGATGATGAAATTCTAGAAAGGCACAACTACTAGTATATGTTTTATGTCCTAATCATGTTTTATAATGTGTTACTACTCCAGTAGATCACAGATGACATAGAATTAGTAATATTGAAAATTCCAGTTATTTTCTTTAACATGTGATAACTTTGCTTGACGGTGTTGTTTTGATCAGAATATAAATGAGATTTATTTTCTCCTGGTTTATGCATCACTATAGGCAGTGTCATGACAAAAGCTTCCATATGAAGTTTGCAAGAGGAATAATAAACTTGGGTATAAAATGCATTGTTTTAGTTTGTCCATTTGTTTTTAATTTTAAAAGCAAAACTAAGGGGACAGAACAGATGCCATTCTGATAAAAGTGCCAAGTCACCTTGGAAACCAATAGAATGTATTGCAAAGTTTCACATGTTGTATAGCACTTTCCACGCAAAATAGCACGTCTAGCTTTTTTAACCCCTCCCCCATGTTTACAATAGTCATCTACTTTTGTAACTATATAGTTTCTACTGAGTCAATTAAGAGCACTATCTATTGTGTATTTTCCCTTTCATTCTGTGCTGTTTAATTGCGCCCAAATTGAACTAGAGTACCATACTTTGACCTATGGAAGATTCCACTCCTACACAGATCTTCTTGCACCTGTACCATTATTTTTCTTAAGTGAGTGATGTAGAAAATGTAAGGCAAACTGGTTAAGATTCCCTCTTTTATGTCCTTCTGGCAAATGAGTCAAACATAGAACTACAGCCATGGTTCCTATAATCAGTTATGTAATGTAAAGTGGTCATGGTGGCTATAGTGTCTCTTTAATTCATTGACTGGGAGTGTCGGGAGATGCATACATTGAACTAATTTAATATTATTAAATGAAATGGAACTTTAGGCTCTAAAGGGTTTCAGGTAAATTTCAAACCATTCAAAAACCCTTTGCTGTGAGAGTATGTCAGGGGACTCCTGATGTTGCTGTAAAGGTTATGATGTTTAGAGTTCTCCTTTAACACCGTATGTCCGCATGGCATGGAGATGAATTCATATTCATATTGGCCATAAGAATTAACATATAGCTTTGAATAAAACCACCCAAACCTACAAACATGCATCATTCAACATAAATGCCTTTGGCTTATCTGGGGATCATCTGTCCCGGTTTTCTCCCTTCGGATTTGCCACTGTCATGGAATCTGCTTATTCACAATGAGCAGCATTACAGAGTCCTGATTCTAAATGAGGACATTCCATGGCACAGCAAGGTCTCCTATGGAACAGATACTCATGATGACGCAACCATTTCAGCCTATTCTTTTGTTTCTGAACATAACCATGCTAAGCAGCCATATACATGTTGCCTTACTTAACATGTTTGTTTGTTTTGTTCTTTGAGCCATACAAAGAAAAGTCTTTACACTGGTTGAATTTCTAATAATCAACTTATTTTTAATTCTAGCTGAGCTGGCAGTATGACACAAAATGTTCAGTAAATCTAAGCCAGCTGAAATGTACAGCACTGTAACCCTCCCCCGTATGTATTGCATGTACTGGTACACAAATGTAGCATGGTTAAATGTGCTAGGAATACTAATGTAGCTATAGATAGCCTTTTGAGATTTTTTTTCCCCCTCTGTAGGCTGAATTTCAGTTCTATTTAAATTGATAACATGCAAACATCAATCCTCCTTACATTGCAGGGAGTTATTACATACTAATTAGTAATCGGCTTTTGTTGATAATAGGAAAGTATTGCTAAGAAACTAATTTATCTGAGTGAGAGATGTTTTAAATCCATGTTCCTGCCCACTCTCCTCATTCAGTAAACAGAAATATTACAGTGAAAAAAAATGTAATAATGCAATATTTATTACATGTGTGTATATTTCATCGGACAGATCGTGTCTTAGAATCCCATACTGTACGCATTGTGTGATGTATGCAATTATTCCCCATGAGAAGGTAATGATGCAATTTAACCCCTACACTACCCTTACACCACTGAACATTAATCACTACAGCACACTAACAGTAAACCCTGCACGACCTTAACACCCTACAGTAACTTAACACTGACTTTAACGCCAACACTACCCTAACACTGAACATTAATCACTTCAGTGAACTAAAGTTAACCCCTTCACTGCCCTAACACCCTACTCTGCTATTTATTCCCTATAGTACCTTGACAAAGAACATTAATCACATCAGTACACTAACATTAATCCCTTCACTATCCTAACACCCTACTCTGCTATTTAATCCCTATAGTACCTTAACACTGAACTTTAATCACGTTAGTACACTAAAAGTAACCCTTACCATAACACTGACTTTAACCCCAACACTACTCTAACACTGAACATTAATCACTTCAGTACACTAACAATTAACCCCTTCATTACACTACACTAAAACTAACCCTTACCATAACGCTGACTTTAACCCCTACACTACCCTTACACCACTGAACATTAATCACTACAGCACACTAACAGTAAACCCTGCACGACCTTAACACCCTACAGTAACTTAACACTGACTTTAACGCCAACACTACCCTAACACTGAACATTAATCACTTCAGTGAACTAAAGTTAACCCCTTCACTGCCCTAACACCCTTCTCTGCAATTTAATCCCTATAGTACCTTGACACTGAACATTAATCACTTCAGTACACTAACCTCATTACCTTAACATACTACTCTCATATTAACCCCTACACTACCTTAACACACTGCTAGTAACTAAAAGTAAGTCAAACGATACTTAACAGACAAGAGTGTATTAGGGAGAAATAATGTCATCTCAGGGTTCTGGTGATATTTCTAAACATTTGACCTTTGGTCTTGTGGTTTATTATGATGTCTTCCGAACGCCTCAATGGCATTTTGTATCCTCTTCCTCTCTCTTTGGCAGAACAGTGGTAGAATTTAATAAACAAATGCAGTTTTAATCATTAGATTTTAATGTTAAACTAAGAAAAGTCATATTGTTTTGTAGTCAATAAAGTTGTTGTTTTTTTGTTATTGCTATTTTTTGGGGTGGGGGGAAATAACTAATTAAATAAATGGCTTAATATGTCATGTTAAGGCATTTTCTTCCTTTATCTCCATCGACTCTTTAGTAACAAGGCACAGATTAGGATAGGAAAATCTATAATTTGGCAAAATGGCTCGGCATCATGGGAAATGTAGTATTCTGCTACTGCTTCTATTATTATTATTATTTATAAAGCGCCAACAAATTCCGCAGTGCTGTACAATGTACAATCATTGCTACAGGAAGACAGTTCCATCAATTCCATCACACCCCAGCAAGATGCTTCAGATGAGTGCTTGTCTGTTGTTCTCACCCCACTGAATTACATTGCATTTTCTGCAACCGACTCTCCAATAAATCTCAAGTGTGACAGACAATGTTCGCAAGCTGGTTTTCTGTCACTGACATGTATCTTATGCAGCAACACGTTATGTTACAGACAAGCCAGTCCTGAAAGTAACAGGTCACCATCTATTGGTAAACTCCCATAAACCTATGGTAGCCTTTTGCTGAGTTTTCAAGGCTCAGGGGAGTTATACGTTTTTTAAAGAGACACACTAGACAGCATAAAGACTTGAACATATTATAATTGTTACTTATAATAACAATGTTTGCACAATGTAGCACAAATTGCTACAGCTATAAGCCCACCTCGTAAAGTCAATGTTAGAAGGGAAAGTTATGATTCTACCTGCCCATACAAGTACTTCCACTGTGTGTCTGTCAAACAAGCCCTTACTTACTTTCATCTGAAAAAGTATGAATTAAGTTATTTGGCGAGCCAGTAAAAATACTGCAGCTTGGGCTGTAATTCCATTCATGTTATATAATGAAACCATTAGTTAGCAGTAAAATATATATCCCATAAACTCCTGGACCCCATAGCAGCAAACAAAGAAAATTCCAAGGTAAACGTAAAATGATATAAATATTATTATAAAATACAGTATATGTAATTAATTTTATATGCAAGCCCTTACTATACTGAAGTCATTGTTACGAAATTTAAAATTTGAAAAATAGTGAATGATTGATAAATGTGTTAACGAAACGTATTATGTTCACATTGTGTTACATATTTATTTAATCTGGTTCTGTTTAATTTTTAATATTTGGAATTTAAACTTCACCTTGCTAAACCTTTACATATTTTTGTTTTATTTTTATGTATGGGAAGAAGTATAGATTGAGAGGCAACAACCATGGTTAGATCTCTAATCATTGTGATACCATATATATTTTTTTAAAACTTCCACGCACTTTTTCCTTATAAGCAAGAATAAATGTATGCAGGTCTTGTACAATGAACTGCAAAATTATACATAATTATACAATGTGCTATATCAGCACCTTTGTAAATATAACGAGAAATAAAAAATGTAATCATGTGGAAACTCTAGATATATGTGACTACATATAAAGTATGCACTGGATTAATATAATAATGTTAAATAATGTTTAAAAAAGCTAGTTCAGATATCTAATATGTGTAAAAACACCATTCAATAGGTGTTGAATGATCCTTTCTGGATATTATTATTATTATCGCCATTTATATAGCGCCAACAGATTCCCTAGCTCTTTACAATATTATAAGATATTTATAAACATTTGACCTTTGCTACAGTTTGATTTATTTAACTATAAATAGGACAATTACAAGAAAACTTACAAGAACGATAGGTTGAAGAGGACCCTGCTTAAACGAGCTGACAGTCTATAGCTATCTCTATACTGTCATTACAAAATATATATACCTACAGCAAATTGCAAAGTGATGCAGTGGGAATAATTTAAAAAATGCTCTATATAATGAGGATATATTTGCATGTATACTCTAAGACAGAGATATAATTGTAAGAAAATACAAACCAATTAAAAATAAATTTCCCTGCAGACACATTCTATTGTGCACTTCCAAACGTGGCTATAAAAAGAAAATTAATGTTGTACGTATCACATATATGAAATATAGTAACACACGTACACATCCAGAAGTTATTAACCAAATGTAATGGGTAAAACAAACCATATATTGATATAGCTTGTAATTGCATACTTGGCTAGTATATTTTTGTTGTATTTTTCCTTAGACACATCTACTTTACAGTATATTTTCATGAATGGAATTTTTGTTTGTTATTTTGCAACCAGTTTATTGGCTCCATCTCTATCTCTCGATATACCAAAGGAAAATATTTATGGAATTAATTCATGAAATAAATTGTAATAAGTTGATTAACTTAATTCCCAAATTATGCAGTAATAGAGGATTTGGAAAACTTTTAACTTGACTAGACTGTATTCACAACTTATATTTCCAATTACATTTTTAATTTAGCTAATTATTGATTTCAATTACCTATTCAATTACCTATTTTTTTTTATTTCAGTTATCAGTATTGCTTTCCTTCATTATTGGAATAAAACTGTGAACTTTAACAATATTCACACCAGTCCTGATATCACTAGAAAAGTTACTTCAAATAAATGGTAACACATGTTAATCAAATAATTAAAGGGAGAAATGTATAAAACATTTGTAAAAATATTTAAACATTTGTAAAAAAAAAATATTTAATCTATGTAAAAAAAAAAAAAAACAACAACAACTTATTCAAATTTTCTGAAGTATTTCCTTAGTAAAAAAAAAAAAAAAAAACCTTACCTTTCATTAGCTGCAGAACTGGCCTGTGCTGCTAATGAAGATCCAGACCCTTTTTGCCCAGGACTTGCATGGTTGTCAGTGCTTTGCATCGTTCAATCAAAGGCTTTTCAGAAGAAGAGCCCTTTCGACAAATCTCCATTTCAAAGCTACTTTTGCAGATGGATGGCTTTAGTAAAATACAGTGGGACCTCGGTTTACAAAGGCCTCGGTTAACCCAATTGTCGGTTTACAAATGAAAATCCATTGAAAATAATGCCTCGGTTTACAAATTTATTTTGCAATACAAAGCAAGTTTCCCCAGGATGCATTGCACCTGGGAGGTTTATAGCACCGCCCCTGCATGCTGGAGCCTGTGGGTAGCATGTGGCGTCGAGTGTGGATGTGTTGGAGCGGCTTTTGCATCGAGTTTTGGAGCCATTCTGGAAATTGTTTGCAGTTGTTTTGGGACTTTTTGGTGCATTTCTCAAGCTGTGGAAAGGTAGGGAGCTGAGCATTTTCGTCTACATGCCTTTTATTGTGTGTTCTGCATTGTGGGTTGGTTTCCATGCCAGCTCATTTTGACTTTTTTCTGAGGTCCAGAACGGATTACCGTATATACTCGTGTATAAGTCGATCTCGTGTATAAGTCGAGTGCAGTTTTGTGACCAACAATTGTGAAATATGCTATGACTCGTGAATAAGTCGAGGGTAAAATGTGGGGCTATGAAATTCTGTGATTTTTTTTTTTTTTTTTTTATATATATAATTTTGTCAGATTTTACCTAGGTAAGATCCTGGAACAATCAAACATGTCAGCTAAAAACTGGATTTTAAAAAATCAGCAATCATGAACATGAACATTTAATTTATTAACTGTAACGAATTCCTTAAACTTATTACAGGGAATTTTTATTTATGCCCTCCAAAATAGCACAAACATTGTTTGGCCTATACAAATCCTTCCAACTCTCACTCGTCATCGTCAGAATGTCCGAATAAATCACGACATTGTTCTTCGGTGATGCCATCAGCGTAAACGTCGTCTTCGCTGTCGTCATCTGTTGAATTGGTAATATGAAGCCGATTCATCTTTCTCTTCATAGATGGCATCGTCCTCTGATCCATCCATAGCATTACTAATTCCACATTTCAGGAACGACTTCTTCATCATTTCTGGTGATATTGAATCCCAAGCATCCTTTACCCATTTCGTTATCAAATCAATGTCTGGTTTCATCAAGTTTCCTCCTTTCGTTAACTTTGCTTGACCACATATTGCGCATTCGGTCCTTGAAAGGCTTGTTGAGACAGACATCCAATGGCTGGAGCATTGATGTTAGGCCGCCTGGAATCACTGCTAACGTGGTTGCCATTTTCTTTGCTTCGTCCTTCACATCCTCTGTTATATGCGCACGGAACATATCCCACACCAATAACGACAGACATTTTCTTAGCGCTGCGCCTGGTCGCCTTCCCCACACATTGCACAGCCACAACTTTGTACCCTCCTCATGCATCCAACCTTTAGGGTGAACACGAACAGTTACTCCTGCCAGAATTTTTAAGTTCTTTGGCATTGTTTTCCTCTTGAATATTATTACCGGGCGCAGTTTAGTGCCACCTGGCAGGCAAGACAGTACAACAGTGAAATGTGACTTTTAATGACCGGTTGTTTTTATAAGTACAGTTTTTTCTCCAACGCTTGCTACAGTTCGATTGCCAGGCATATCAAATGTCATTGGAGTTTCGTCCATATTACCAGTGTTATTTAGAACGAAACCATTCTTTTTTCTCTGTTTGATAATTAAATTGTGGAATGACATGACCTTTTCGTCCAGTTCTTTAGGCAGCTTCTGAGCGATCTTTGTTCGCTGACAAAGACACAATCCATACCGGTTCATGAATCGTGTGCACCAACCAGACGATGCTCTAAATTGTGCCATAGCTTCAGTCGCCAAATATTTTTCTTTTACCATCTGAAGTGCTCGTAGTCGAATGCTTGAGCGAGTCACAACATATCCATTTTGTCTACATTCCATTATCCAGTCATTCAAATCCTTTTCCATTCCATCAAAAGGTGTAGCTTTGAAACAAAATGCTTTCTTCAACTTCGGCATGGCTTGCAATTTAGCCTCATTTTTTTCTCCAATCTCATACGAGTTTTTCGCTGATGCTAAACTCTCTTGCAGCTACGCTATTATTGGCTTCCTTTGCACGTACAATAACTTTCAATTTAAGCGCAGCAGTGTAAGAAGCTCTCATTTTCTTTGCAAAACTCATTTTTCTGAAGATAAGAATTTACCGAAAATATTATTCTGTTATTATTAATGTAATCTTAATAATCATTTGACAAACAAGAGTAAATAGTCAATCAAGTTCCCTTATATGGTGTACCGGTATGTTTCTTTCTCCCCCTCACTGCTCCTATGTGTCCATTTCTCCCCTTTTCTTCCCAGTCTCTATCTTCCCCCTCTGCCTCTTTTTCCCTCCCCCTGTGTCTCTCTCTTGCCCCTGTTTCATTATCCCCTATCCACTGTGTGTCTCTCTTCCCCTCCCTTTTGTGTGTCTCTAACATATACACTGACAGAAACCCACTAGATTATAAACACTTTTAATAAATTAAACAAGTGTGTACCAGTGGCCAGCCTTCTCTATTTTCAACACTTGGCCGCTAGGATATGATATCATGTATCCCAGCAGCCCTTAACATAATGTGAGCTGATTGGCCGCAGCTCACATCCCCTCATTTGGCCGGCGCATCTGGAGGGGTAAGAGAGATTGACCGGCGGGAGAGTGGTTTTATGTGCTCCCGCCGGTCCCACGGACATCAATGTCCCGTCCCCCTCCCTCCCTCTCGCTACAGTGATTATGCCGCCGCCGCCCTCCTCCAGTTCGTGCTTTCTGACAGCTGCACAGTCAGAAAGCACGAAAGTGAGTATGCCGCTGGACCGGCTAGCCGGCCGCCTGGTCCAGCTGCACCACTATGATGCGGCCATTCCCCCTCACACCCGTGTATAAGTCGAGCCTGCAATATAACAAGTTTGCAGGTAAAATTTCTCTACTTATACACGGGTATATACGGTAATTGGTTTTCAATGCATTCCTATTGGACCCGTGTTTCGGTTTACAAATTTTTCGCAATAAGAAACGTCCCGGAGAATGCATTAAATTTGTAAACCGAGGTCCCACTGTATAGTGATTCATATAAAAGTCATACAATAGAGTTAAATTTGTTAAAACATACTGACACACATGCTACATTTAGCCACCTTCCAGGTTCTTACCTTTTTCTTCAGGGTGGATTCCCTGGGGTCCACTGGTGGTTTCCCTGCCTTCCTCCTCCGCACGGCTCGGATTTCCGGTGGGAGGAAGTGATGCACGGCATTTTGTTTACATGTTTTACCACGATTTGTCTGTGTGATTGCAGCTGCTGCTTCCCCTCGGGCTGAGATCATCAATACTGATAATCTCAGCCAATTCCGTGCTTTCTTATAGGGAAGCACTGGGGGACTGGGCACATGTGCAGCAATTGACTCGCTGCACCAATCAGGGATACATTGACACAATGCATCTTTATGGGGAGTGTCCAGCATCTACATGGAGATGTTGACCGTCACTCCTGCAACAATTTCAGTACCTCTAGTGACTGTTTGAGTGACAGCCATTAGTTGTGTAGATAAGCAGAAAAGGCAATGTTTACACTTCTGAGGCTGCATGGTTAGCCTCCATGCTCTGCTTATGATGTCCCTTTAACCTTTCTGAGAAGTGCCTGAAATATCAGTGGTTGATGGCAATATTTGGTTCCAAGTGTGGCTACTTTCAAAATAGTAAAAAAACAATAAAAAAAAAAAAAAGATAATTTACGGAGAATGAAAAAAAACCATGGGTTATTACTAGCAGTTTCATGTTGATTATACCGTGGAAACTACTTCACTTCCCCTCATCACACATGAGTTTTACTTTCACCAATTTGGCATTTGGCATTGTAGTACAGTCATCCTCTGTCTGCTGCGAGGGTGTCTGAGCAGCTTCTTCTTCTTCAGAGCCAAAAACACTTGTTCGAACTTCTGTTTCTTTTCCGTCTGCTGTGTTTTGTCATCTAGCACCGACCATGAAGAATATTCACTACAACTCGCCATTGATATTTAGGTAAGAGAGTCAAACCTTTATTCATTTGAATTCCGAGTTGTATGTGTGATTTCACATGGGTAATGCCACGTAGTTTGTTGGTGTTTTCATAAATATATCTTTAAATATTGTGATGATGATGGCCAACTTCATTTAAAGTACATGTTAAAGGGACTCTGTCAGCCATAAAATAGAATGGCTGATAGACTCATCTTTTAACAAAGTATGCATAACTTTACACCGTGCAGGTGATATCTCCAGAAAATGTTGTGATTAAATGATTTCCTTAAAAGAAGATCAGATGGAAGCTCTCCAAGATTGCATCAGAAATAGGTGCAAGTAGTAATAAAAGACAGTTGACGAACACTTAATTGGTAAACTCAATGTTACCTTTATAATATACAATAGATATCTCCTCTAGATATTATAGGAGGATATCTGTCATTTTTTTTGTAACGCACCTATATTTGGTTCCAGCCATTGGATAGAGTCACACTATTTTTCCTGGTTTCTGCTCAGTCCATTCTTTGAGAGTACAGTGTAAATACACCTGGATACCAGCAACTGTTAAAACATGTGGTAGTATCTTGGCACATAACATGCAGCTGTGCTTTTCTTACTGTTATTGTGCATACATGACCCATACGGAGATGAACTATTAATTATTGAAATGCGTCAACCTCTGTTAGGTAAAGTGACAACTCCTACACATTTTCAATAAATAATCACCATTACAGGCACAAAAAGTTATTGAAAGTTGATTTATTATTTCTATTGACATTATCTGTAATAGGATCTCTTTTGTTGCTGTGCGTGACATTGATCCAATAAAAAAGTTACTTCATTGATATTGAAGTGGATCCTGTCAATTTTTAAAGGAGCACTACAGTGTTAGGTATAAAACGTACTCCTGACACTATTGTTTTCATAATAACTTAATAGATTCAGGGGTCCACAAATCAATAAAAAGAGAAACTGTTTTATTTACCTTTACTCCTCCAGAGTGGCTGTTTCCCTGCATCCATCCCACCTTTGCTGACAGAGTTCATCAATCCTTATGATGTCAGTCAATCCAATGTTTCCTCATAGAGAAGTATTGGGGAGATTAGTGCGCATGTGCAGCAATTGCCACTCTGTACCAATCTGCACCTTCTATACGTTGCAGGGTTTTGGTGCCTTTTGTTTTTCTTTAAGCCTTTTTTTGGGGGGCTTCCAACAAATATCTGGTGTACACCTCATTTTGTGTTATCTAGCCTATTAGCCTAAGCTTAGAGATGAGAATTCTGCTTTCATGACCCCAACTGAACACTGGTGAAGGTCTACTAAACTGGTTCATGGATTACAGGATAAAATTTACCAGGAAAGGTTAAATGAACTCAACATGTATAGCTTGGAGGAAAAACTGGACAGGAGGGATATGATAGAAACATTTAAATACATAAAGGGAATCAACACAGTAAAGGAGGAGACCATATTTAAAAGAAGAAAAACTACCACAACAAGAGGACATAGTCTTAAATTAGAGGGGCAAAGGTTTAAAAATAATTTCAGGAAGTATTACTTTACTGAGAGGGTAGTTGATGCATGGAATAGCCTTCCAGCTGAAGTGGTAGAGGTTAACACAGTGAAGGAGTTTAAGCATGCGTGGGATAGGCATAAACCTATCCTACGCTTAAGATAATGCCAGGGACTAATGAAAGTATTTAGAAAATTGGGAAGACTAGATGGTCTGAATGGTTCTTATCTGCCGTCACATTCTATGTTTCTATGTTAGACATAGGCACCCACTGGCTCCATCAATATTGATGAACTTATATGCCCATTAACTTCTGCAGGTCAAATGGGAAATTCACAGATACTCTTAGGTTACCTTAAATTCATACATTTAAATGACAAACGTGGAAAGGGACAGATGATGGATGGTGATGGTCAATATGATATTGCTTTTCATGAAATGAACTGATCTAAAACAGGTAGAAGATGATTATATGTAGTCATAGTAATTTAGAAACATGCTTATGACAGTTCATAATATTGGGGAATTTAGTTTCTTTGAAGTTTTTCAAACATTCATAATCAACAAGTATTCTGTATGTCTATAATAGAGGACAATATACAAAAGAGGAACTGGGGGATTTGAGTCCAAAAGAGGGACTGTCCCTCCAAAAAAAGGAAATTTGAGAACTCTGAGTAACATTTAAATACGGATTAGATTTTTGTTCCATTAATTTGATATTTTTTAAGCTTGTTAAGGCTAGTTAATTCTCATAATAATAAAAAATACAGATTTGTGAAAGTTAATTTATCAATGTATCATGGGAAAGGGACGCTGTGCTTTGTGTGTGACTACTTCTCTAAACTAACAGGGTTATTCACTAAAATGAGAATTCAAAGTGAGTTTCAAATTTAAGGCCAGAGTATCTGAACTGGAAGCAAAGCTAATGTAGATATTATTTCCAGTTTGACTATTTTGACCCCCCCCAAATAATTATTTAGTGCATATACCTAGTAGAAACATACATGCATTTAATTATGATTTTCTTACATAGGATGCATACCTAAAAACAGCTTGCAAAAGCTGCAGATCTATTGTCTGCAGCCTTTACCAAGCCATTTCCTTCTTCTCCAGCCCAGACTTTCTGTGGCTGTCTAATCATAGATTTCCAATGGAGCTCGATGAGAAGTCTTTACAAGGCAAGTTACTCTGGGCAATTACTGCCTCTTCAGTGTAGTTCCACTGAGCTAAACAGCTGGAAAGTAGTAGGACCGGTTGTCTAATTGACATCTAGGGGGTATAACTAGATTCATTTATAAACTGTGCCTTTTTTCTAGTGAAATCTACACTTTTTGCAAAATTGAAGAAATAAAAACACACTTAACACATAAAAAACTTCAGCAAGCTAAAGTGCTTTGTGTGCTTGGCGTGTTCTTTTACATTTAAAATTTTGAATTCTCACTTTAGTAAATAACCCTTTTAATATTTTTTTAAACCCATGGACTGTTAAATGAATATCCCAGGCACTTGGTCATTATAAAGGTTTTGTATAGAAAGGTAACATGTGCTGGATATCCACAAGTGCTGCAAAAAAACCAAGATAAATAAATGTTGCAAACAAAAACTGCAGCACTTTGATTAGGCCTTTTCAAACTGAAGATGGTTTGAGGAAAACCGGAGAAATACTATAGATAGTGTTTCCATGTTCCGTACAGCTCGCAAGTGCGTTATTTTAAATGGAAGCATGCACGGGGGTACTGTGCATGCCCAAGCCTGTTGCAATTTAGTTTGCATGCATGGATTCACAGTGCTTCACACAAATGAAGGGCACTTATTGGTTGATTATCCTTAGTTCCTGATTGCTGCAGTGGTCTAGCATCATGGGAAATTCATAGAAAATGTTTGCAAAATGGAAACCTTCCCATGTTTTTTTTTTTTTTAAATTGATTTGTTTATGTATTTATTGTATCATTATTATTAAATGCATTATCTGTATAAGACATTAAAAATGTTGGGTCATCTGAAGCTTGGTATAACCTGTTAATCTAATCAGAAAATAATATCTAAGCCAATGTCACCGTCTTTATAGCTTCTCTCGTACTACACACAACATGGAATGTCACACTAGACAGCAACCCATTATTTATAAGTTAAATCCATATGAAATATTCTGCTTGATTAGAATCCGTTTCTTATGTGCAGCAGAATGTAGCACATGCATTTTAATTATCCAGTGTTGGGCTGTCTGTCAGCATTGATCTGTAAGCACTACATATGTTCTGCATTTAAGAGATGGTGAGTGACTTTAAACTACTGGTAGTCATCCTTTACAATTCATTGGAAATGCATAACTGGAGTAATTGCACTGTAGAACATTTTGCCACATCATGGAAATCTTGTGAAAATAATATGGAGTATACATACATGTGCACAAGGGGTGTGTCATATATGTCCTGACACCACCTAATGCATGGACATATCATCCTTATGTATGTGTTTCTATGGACACTCTTTGGGTGCGCTTGTTATGTTTATGAGGAAAAATAAACCATGAATTATTGATACACTTAGTTCTCATTAAAGCAAAAATGTGTATTTTTTCACTTTCAATATTTCTTTTACAGTTAGTTATACACGCTATTTAGATATATGCAACTCAATATTTGCACTGGGGTCTAAACTCATGTTTAGACCCCAGTCTCGCTGGTCTCGTCAGTCTCACCGTTCCTATCAGTCCTCCCCGGCTTAGATCATCATTGCTGATGATTTCTGCCAATCCAGTGCTTCCCAATAGGAGATCATGGGGCAGGGGGCAGGGGGCAGGGGCCAGTGTGCAGGTGCAGCAATCACAGTGCTGTGCCAATTCGCATTCTTCATAGAAATGCATTGCCTCAATGCATCTCTGCGAGGAGCGTCCGGCATCTTAATGCATATCTCACCAGCTCACCAGAAAGTGCATCTAAAGGTTGTCAAAGTGACAGCTGCTAGAGTTGTAAAAGGAACTCTTTGCACTAAATCACATACAATAAACATGAGTGTTTACGGTGCAATGATAGTGAGTCCAGATAGGAGAACAGGAGGAAGATCTACCTTAAGGTTTTCCTTTTACATGCCACCATCTTGGTACTGTCACGTATTCATCCGCTTATAAAAATGTGGTAAATGGCATTTACTGTCCACACAGGAAAAGTTGTGCCGAGCAGCAACCAAATCCACAGAAGGGTTAATGCTGAGCAGCAATTATGCAAATGGAACCTAGTAACTGCCTTTGGGGTCAAAGGCCGGTTACAGCCTATCAGATCCAGAGGAGGGGTATTTAGGCCCAGTTCTCATCCTGCTCAGTGCTCTGTCGTGGTTTCCTTTGTGGTTGTCCGAGAGTGCGTTCCTGATTCAAGTTTCTTCTGGTTTTTGACTTTGATTTTGACTTTCCTGTATTCTGGTATCCCTGACTTCTGGCTTTCTCTTATTGTTGTGTCTCTTTCTGTATCCCCTGACCTCGGCAAGTATCCTGACTATTCTTTGGTACGTTAAGTCCGGCCATTCTAAGGCCCGGTAATATGTTGCCTATAAGTCATCTGTGTGACACAATTCTACGTGCTGGATCAACTAGTAATCCTGACAGGTACAAAACAGGAGCATATGGAGGTTCTTGCAGCTCATTGATCTTTTGGTGCATACTCAAGGAGATGTAGTCATCTATTATATGTGCAAGCAAGAAACTGTTTTCCAACAGCCATAACTCATTGTGTCTAAACAGAAGTGACAAATATGTGGAGCCACAAATTAGCCATCTTGCCATATTTACCATTTTATTTAGCATACATACTATAAGTAGCCCCTTGGTTTGTCTTATATGTATTTTTTATTTTGACTTCTATTTTATTTACATCACACAGCAATATATAAGCATAAAGAGGCATTTATATTGGGTTCTTAATAAATAAATCTGTAAACATTTTGGGCAGAAGCTGTGTTGTTTTTCCTTTTATGTAGCACCATTTGTATGCAGTTCCAAAAACCTGTGACTGAATTGTTTAAGGTTGCACATCAGTATGCAGTACACATTGACTGGCATAGTGTCAGCAGGTTTTTAAACATACGCACATCTGCTTTAGGGTCTGTTACATCAAATTTGCAGTTTTATTGGGCTGACCAATCTACTGTGACTCTGTTTTATTTGATAGTGTCAGATCATGGCCAGAAGGCATGCTAAAGAGAACCGATGACTCCTTTTTCAGAAAATGTATAACCTTTGAGGTACTATCCCTGTTCTAATGTTTGAATCGATGAGGCATTTCTAGAAAGTAAGTCGTTCTTTGTGCACTTTCAAATTTTGGGTTTCTGTTAATCACACAAAAACTCGAGTTAAGTGCTTTGGTAATCGCATAGCAGTGATCTTTTTGTATCAATATTTAAAGAGCTGCTATAAGTTAATTTATTCATAATTGAGAATCTCACCCAGGTATTGCTGAATTCAGAATATGTTTACCTATCCCCTATATTTAACAAATATGTATTTGTGAGTTGTAAAAATTGTAATTAAATGTAGGAATCCTGCATCTGAACCCCTCTAACTGAGTATGCTGTCAGTTACAAGAGCGCACTGTAATGTGTATTACAAAGTATGCGCTGGAGCCCCACAGTGTAAGTAGTCAAACTGTTTGCGAAAGGTGTGACAACTTACCTGGGGTCTATCAGGAAGCAGTCAGTCTGATGCTGCTGTGTTTAGCTCACTGGCTGATGCTCTCAGCCATTGAGCTTGTCCTGTACTGCTGGTCCGAGCTCAGAAGAGCTAATGGATGATCCATGCAGGAGCTACTTACTTGCTTTCAGTGGAGAAAGTTACCAGCGTCTGACATACCCCAGGTAAGTTTCCGAAGTGTTAGCATACAGTTTACAGTGTTTACTTACATTCAGAGAATATAAAATAAATTTCCACCAACTCCCATATGTTACCAATGTAGTCTCCTTGACATTCATATTAATCATGCATTAATATTCTTTTGCCCTAACACGTTCAGCAAATAGCAGACGCTAATACTGATGTCATGTTGTTCTTGGAGATTCAAACACATTCTAGTAGCTATTTTATTACTCACCAGCAGGCTTTCAGTGATGTCATCCTTATTAGCCATTCCAGTGACTTGAAGATGCAGTGGAAGCAGAATGACAGTGCGTCTTGAGTAAAGACACAATATTTGCAGACTAGTCCGTAAAACGTTAAGGACACAGCGTGATCAGGGTCGCAAAATATTCTATCAATTCAAAGTGAAATCTAATTTCGAATTTTAGGAGATCTTTTGTTACAAAAAACAAACAGTATTTCCATATATACTAGGTTTCTTGTGCACATTTATCCCATAGCTTTTAATGATTTTTAAAGAAGAGTACCATGGAAGGTGGCATTACATATTTAGTAGGGAGTGTAGAATGATAAAAGACCTCCCTATTCCACGGCGTGACAATGTAGAGTGTCACTAAGGGCTGCATAAGATAACAAGGGAATACCACTTCAGAGGCATTGTATCTGAACGAGTGCAGGAAAGAAAAGCTTGTCAGCATAAAACTGGAGTTATTACTGAACAACTGGCTTCAGGCTTCAAATGCTTTTTTTCCTATCTATTTTTGGAAATGCCTTTATGTAGCGTGCGTGCTGCTTTTTATGTGTCATGGAGTGCATTATTTTTAAAACCATTTTAAAGGCACAGTGCATAACTGCAGCCTCTTTATACAAAGTACCTGCAGATGGTATAGGATTGTGAACAAATGACTACACAGCCCTCTAAAAGGACATATTGCTTTTTAAATTGCAAGCCGAAGAACACTGATTATTTTATTGTAGCCATGAAATTGTGGTCTGGGTGCAGTTGCCCATTAATTTTAATCCTGCAATGTAAATCAATGCAGTTTTGGAGGGTTGCGGGGTTAAACATACCTCTAGTGGCTGTCTTCCTGATTGCCATTAGAGACCCTGTGAGCATCTAGTCAAATGCTGTTCATAATCTATTCGCACCTGCCTCTCAATGCTTTTCTATAGGGAAGCATAGGATTGGCTGAGATCATCAGTTTTGATAATCACTGCCAGACAGGGGTGGTAACGAGACCAGCAATTTTGTTTACCTCTGTTTCCAAATACATCTTACTTTATTCACTAAACCAGTAATTTGGCAAATTATTAAACGGAATCTATAGTCATAAAAATAACAATCGTTATTTGGGACTAAAGGTTCCTTTTTGTCCACCCTCATTTGACCTGTAAATATTAAAGAGACACTATAGTCACCAGAACAACTACAGCTTAATGTAGTTGTTCTGGTTAGTATAGGCAGTCCCTGCAGGCTTTTTGTATTAAACACTGTATTTTTTTAGAGAAAAGGTAGTGTTCACATTACAGCCTAGGGATGCCTCCACTGGCCACTGGGGCAGTGCTGCACAGTTTGCTTTCCTATGGACTGATTAAATGTATTCAGCGCTGACGTCGGAAGAGGGAGGAGAGTCCCCAGCGCCAGGCTGGAGAAAGGTAAGTGATTAACCACTTCCTCCCCCTTCAGCCTGGCAAGAGTGGGACCCTGAGGGTGGAGTTTGTTTTCCTGGCAATTTAGTGGTCCTTTAAGCTTTCATTGTATGTTATTTTCATTGAAATTATTTCATTAATAAAAAGGTTATTGACTCAAACACTCCTCAGAATTTTGGCTGTATTTTTTAACAGTTTTGATAGTCTTTTAAACTACAGGAATAATAAACGCTTCCCGATGTCACTAAATTTTATTTTATTTCACTTGAAAACACACACACATCAACCATCTTCCTGACAATCAAGTTTAGTTTCAAATGTTGTGATCCTATGCATTACATACTTGGTTTTGGCGGCATTTGATTTGATTTTTGTTGTTGTTGTTTTTTTAACCTTAAGGCTTCCCTATCAGTAGTACACGTAGCATAATTTGTTTTTCTTTTTCTGGCTATATTTAGACACAGACAGCCAGGGCCAGATTAAGAGCCCAGTGGGCCTGGTGCTGACAATTATGACGGGCCTAATTACAGAATCATATCGACCAAAAACAGTAAAACACTCCCAAGCATCATGTATCTGATGGAGATGGTGCTGGAGAGAAAGAAAACAGCAGCTATAAGAAAGCACATACCCTAGGCTAATCTCTCACTAATTTATGTTTTCATCTTTCAAGTAAATCCATAACCCCTAACAGCAGTGTCCAGTCAAGTAGGAAGTCAATGGGCATGGTAAAAGGGTGTGCCACTGACACAAATCACATAACCTGCCAAAAGGGGCGAACATGCCCAAAAAGAGGACATGTCTGCTCAAAGAATTAGAAGACCAGCCTGGCATGTCAGGCTGCCTGCCAATCATGCAGCTGGCCAACTAAGGGCATACTATGCAGACAGCACCCTGAGCTTGGCATAAATGCATCTAATGATGCGCTCACTCAACGCTTTCTAAGGACTGTCCCCTAGCACTCGCTGGTCCACTTGTCTCTTTACCTTCTTACTAGCAGGCAGAAGCTCCTGGTATATGGTCCGGGACAGAGAAAAGCTGTATGTAGTGAGTGTAGAAGAAAGGGAACATGCCACAGTGTTAGAGAGACCAAAGTCAGCATTACCACAAGCATGAATTCATGACCCTATAGTGTTAACACCACCATCTAGCCCCCCTGGGCCCCTCATGCCTCCATAAATATAGCAAAATCCTACTATATTCAAGCCTGAAGCTTTAACTCTGCATGCTGTTAGACTCATAAAAACAAGCAGTCTGCTGACATCATTAGAAGTGGTGGCCTGATCCAATCACAGTGCTTCCCCATAGGATTGGCTGAGACTGACAAAGAGGCAGATCAGGGGCAGAGCCAGCATGATTCAAACACAGCCCTGGCCAATCAGCATCTCCTTATATAGATGAATTTAATTAATGAATCTCTATGAGGAAAGTTCAGTGTCTACATGCAGAGGGAGGAGACACTGAATGTTTGGATGCATTTTAGGCAGCCATGACCCAGGAAGGATCTCTAACAGTCACCTAAGGAGTGGCCAGTGAAGTTATCACTAGGATGTAATGTAAACACAGGATTTTCTCTGAAAAGACCATGCTTACAGCAAACAGCCTGATGGTAATGATTCTACTCACCAGAACAAATTCAATAAGCTGTAGTTGTTCTGGTGACTATAGTGTCCCTTTAACTATATTCATTGTCAGCTAGTCCACACAAGTTTACATCCCTCTTAAGTTTCCATATTAAGTAAGAGTATGTGAAAAGTAGTTAGGGTTGCCACCTTTCTTGGAAAAACAATTTGCATAATTAAATATGTATGGGTGACATCACATGATGTAAATCACAAGGAGTGACATAAGAGAAAATGCTGTAAAATCACCAAAAAACTATTTAGTTTAAATCTGCTGTAAAGATGGATTCCTCCCAGTGCCCCCATATGTCGATTACTCCAGTCCTCAGTGTTCCTATGTATCAGTGTCTCAGTGCCCCATGTCTCCCAGTGTCCCAAGTGTCGTGTCCCCAGGCCTCCTTTTTTGCCTTCCCTATGTATCAGTGTCTCAATGCCCTATGTCTCCCTGTGTCCCCATGTATCCCAGGGTCCCCATGTCACTAGGACACTAGGAAGACCGGAGACCTGGGGACACAGGGAGACCTAGGGACATGGAGACACCAGTGACACTGGGAGAGTAGGGGACTCTGGCTGGGACACATGGGGACAATGGAAAATAGGGGACACTTGAAGACATGGGGACACAGACACCAGGGACAAAGATACTAGAGACACTGGCTGGGGGACATGGGGACATTGGGGGCACTGGGAGACATGGGGACACAGACACCAGGGCCACAGACACTAGGGACACTAGCTTGGTGACATTGTGACACTTGAGGCACTGAGAGACATGGAGGCACTAGGAGACATGGGGACAGTGAGACACTGGCAGACTGGGGGCACTGGGAGACTAGGGGTCACTGGAAGACTAGAGGCACTGAGACACCAGGAACACTGGCTGGGAGACATGGGGACACTGTGTCCCCATGTGTCTGTGTCATAATGTCTCCCAATGTCCCTTAGTGTCTCAGTGTCTGCCATAATGTCTCCCAATGTCCCTTAGTGTCTCAGTGTATGTCTCCCTGCTGCCTTTCCCCCCATCCCTTACTTCCCTGAGCTGTAGGCTGTCTCTGCAGGGTGAGAGTTGCTGTCTGGACTCTCTGTAGCTGCACCCCTGCAGATCAGTGAGTATAGATAGGCAGGGAGGGATATGCTGGAACTTCCTATCCCTGCCTGTCTCCACATACAGCGACCCCTACTGGCCAGTGCTGGTATTGCATAGTAATTTCCATTTATACTGAGAAAAATACCAGCATTTATATTGCCAGTATCACTGTAATATTGGCACCAGCCAGGCAGCCTCAAATACTGGCTGTGCCAATAAAATAAAAGCCAGGTGGAATCCCTAAGAGTAGTGTGTGAAAAAAAATGTTTTTTTTTTTTTTTTTTTTTAAATCAATGGGCCTATTCCATGGGCCTGGGCCTGGAGCTGCAGCTCCATCAGCCCCTATGTTAATCCGGCCCTGCAGACAGCCAACGCACTGCTGCAAGAGGAGCTGGATTGCAAGTTCATGTCAATGCCCATTACATATTACATGTTGCACTGTGCATTACAATATGCTACTTAACCCCTTCTTGACAGAAAGCTTGCTAGAACTGTCATGATTAAAGGGATTTTCTTGTTATGAATGTTTTACATACCACTGTGCCTTACCTTTGTGCTCCATTTTGCCGCATTGTGCCTTACCATTGTTCTTGCCTTTTGTGAATGTTTGTTTCTATGACCTGATTTTGGTCTTCCTCTTGACATCTCTGAACACCATTTGTCCCAATTCAGAGTTCTACTGCTTTATTGAATGTGTTGTGACTCTGATACATGAGTATTGCAAATAGTGATAAGGAAGGTCTCCCGCAAGAGACAGAACGCTTACCAGCTAACCATAGATAATCAGCCTCATGTGTTCAGCATTCTCCATCCATAATTGCTTTATACATTCATTCTGCCTGCCTTTACTGCTATAGGATTTCATGTCATATTTGTTTTGTTTCCCGTTGGGTTTATACTTTACAGTGAAGATATTCACAGCATTATCCACTGATATAATTTACCATTGCGTGTTCGGATTCAGAGAATCTTACAAGCTTTTTCCATTTTCAAAATATATTGATGCAGGATAGAACGAGAAATGATTTGTGCATTATTAATCCTGCCCTCTACATTCATGGGAAACACAATCACATATATAATGTAATTTGTCTTGCTACTGAAAAACTAATTGCAGTTTCATCATAAGAAATATAATCTTTATATATATATATATATATATATATATATACACACACACACACACATACATGTTTACATGTAAAAGCCAGTTCAACAAATGTCATGTCTCCCAACCATCCTGCTTTTAGGAACACCAGAAACTGTCCCCAACATT